CCTGTCCCTGACCCACTCCCTCCCTCACCATGGGGACCTCAAGCTGGCCCCCTCCATGCCCCTTCCCCGCCACAAACTTACCGGCCAGGTGCTGCTCTCCAAGCTGCCGGGCTGCATTTCTGTAAAATCAGCTATAGGATCAGTATCAGCCAATATGGCTGGTTAATAATCAGCTATAGTTAATCAGCCAAGAAAATCTTTATCGGTGCACCCCTAATTAGCCTCACAGCAGGACTAATCAGCCTAAGCCAATCACCACACTAATGCAGCTATACCGCTTGGCGCTCAAGCTGACTCATTCAGAGCTGTCTCAGAGAGGTCTCAAGAGGAAACTGCATTGCAAAGCATGGCTACTTGGGTGTGTTTGTACAAAAAAAATAGACATATTCCAGGGAACTTTCAAAAAAACCTTTTATTGCTTACTCCCTCCCTGTATAACAGATGAACCCTAGTGTCTGATGAACGTGCTCTCCTGAGGGAACCATAACATAAGGATGCTAAAACAAGCTGTTGCTGGTAAGCAAGAATGGTGCTATAGGACTTCCAGCCCTGATAACCAGCCAACACAGAGAAAACACAGCTCTGTGGCAGCATGTCACCACTCATCACCATACAATGCCATGTAGAAATGTCCAAGCTAGGCCTGACCGAGCTAGTGTATGTATATTAGAAACAGAATACAGGTTTCCCTCACTTTATGCAGGTTCAGTATGTGTGAATTCACTCTTACACGATGACCCTTTTTATTCCAAAAATGTGTTATATGCGAAGTAAATTCACTCTTATGCAATCGGTGTGGTGGAAGCCCAGTCAGCTGCTTTGTGCGGTGCATTGTGGGAGTGATGCACACCAAAATATAGTTTCCTGTGTGGATCTGTGCTCCTCACTCATTGTCTGCGACATGTGTTTCTGTAGTTGCCATCCCCATTATAATAGTGCCCTGTACTTGTGTGTCCTGTTGGTGAGTACAAAAATTGTCTAGGAAAAGTGGTAGAAATGGGTCTGGGGGGTCAATACAGTAGAGGTCTTGGAACATATCCCTATTTGTTACATTGTAAAGTGGGTTCCCTTTATGCAAATTCAAGTTATGCACCGTTTTCCAGGAACACATGTACAGCATAAAGCAAGGGAAAACTGTACCTGTATTAGCAAGATGCTGCATTTGGGCTAATGTTTCCACTGAACTCATGTTGGGGAGTATGCAGCTTGTACCCTACTCTAAAGACATTTGAAAGGGAAAATAAAATAAAGCCTTTGTTCCTCTTCTTCAAATATCACAGGGGAGAAGACTGCAAGGCCTTTCCCACTCCACCTGCCTAATGACTGCTCTTGCAAAGGACTGGGGTGCAGAAAAAAAAAAGGGTTGTTCAACTTGGTAAGGTACAAGAGATCTAGCATGGCTAACAGGATAAACGTCCACACTGTCTTAAGGCATAAAGTTACTTCTTTTTGCTCTTAGATTTTGCATCCTACCTCAGATAAAGCAATACTATTACCCTAGAAACCCTGTACAAAAAAAAAAAGGGTCAAGAATCAGTAGAATAGAAATCAGAATCACAGAAAATTAGGGTTGGAAGGGACCTCAGAAAGTCATCTAGTCCAGCCCCCTGTTCAAAGCAGGACCATCCCTAATTAAATCATCCCAGCCAAGACTTTGTCTAGCCAGGTCTTAAAAACCTCCAAGGATGGGGATTCCACAACCTTTCTGGGTAGCCCATTCCAGTGCTTTACTATCTTCCTCGTGAAAGAGGATTTTCCTAATATCCAACCTAAACTTCGCTTGTTGCAACCTGACAGAACAAGGAGCAATGGTCTCACCTGCCACCACTGAGAACAGTCCAGCTCCATCTTCTTTACAAACACCCTTCAGGTAGCTGAAGGCTACCATTAATACCCTCCTCAGTCTTCTCTTCTCCAGACTAAATAAGCCCAGTTCCCTCAACCTCTCCTCATAAGTCTGATTCTTCACCTGTAGGTTGGATCCAACTACAAGGATGGCTCTAAAACAACCACCATGTTCCATTTCAGCTACTGTAATGGATTTTTTTCAACATTCATAACATTCACAACTTAAAAAAAAAATCACAGAGGGATCTAGTTGAAGTGGATGGTTTTAGGTGTGAGGTATTTTGAAAAGAAAGAGTCTAGACATTCTTCAGTCTACCTCAATCGCTCTTTTGACTTATGCCAACATTTAAAGGATTTACTACACTTTCTCCAATCAGAGGATCCTTGAGAGTCTTTTCTGTCACAGGAAGTAATACGGAATCTCCATATTTTTCATATTTCCCATGCTAGTAAATCCCCATCCAATCATTACAGCATGGAATCAGGAAAGGCCATACATGGTAGTTGACAAGGAGTAAAAAAAATATAGGCAGCAGTCACATGTTTTGAAATGAAGAGGGATGTTTCAAAATGAAGCTTATTGTGTTGGGAAAAAAGAATAGATTTGCTACTCTAAAGGGTCACAACAGACAGCCACACCAATTCTTTTATAAAAAGAAAGTCTGACCTATATGATCATCCATGATACATTTCCATAACTGAAGTATCACATTTAAGAACAGTACACAAACCAACACCAATGAAATCAGAACTGTTTTCAAGTATAAAGCCACTTCTTGTATCACAGAATCATAGAAGTAGGGTCAGAAGGGACCTTGTAGATCTTCAGGTCTGACCCCCTGCCTGGGTGGGAGAAAAGACTGAGTCCAGCCAGGTAGTCATCAAGCCTCTTCTTAAAGATCCCCAGGGTAGGAGCCAGCACCACTTCCCTAGGAAGTTGGTTCCAGCTCCTAGCCGCCCTAACTGTGAAATAGTTCTTGCGGATGTCTAATCTAAACTTACTCTCTAATAATTTGTGTCCATTGTTCCTTGTCATGCCAGGGGGTGCTAGGGGAAACAGTGTCTCCCCTAAACCCTTCTGGTCCCCCCTAGTGAGTTTATAGACAGTCACCCGGTCCCCCCTCAGCCTTCTCTTGTGAAGGCTGAA